AAAAAGGATCGATTATTAATATAACAAAAAAATAATGTATTAATAAATTTTAATAAATTTTTCGTATATCGCGATGTATCGGTAAATGCAATGAGTCCCCTAGTACCTGAAATGCAATAAAGGTATAAATAATTAATAAAATATTAATAACATATTGCAATCCAAATAAAGTAAGCAGGATAGAAATTGTATTAATTATATATATAGGAAATAATACAATAACTCACTTTCCATTGATTTTTTTCAAATAATAATGTATAAGACACCTTAATTCTTGACTAAGTGTTGTACCCTACGATTCTCACTCTCATAGCTATAGCGAATATGACCGTGAGTGTAGAATGTGCTGGTCATTACGAGCGCTATTTGAAAGCACTATAAATTTAATTATCTTACTGCCTTACTGACACAAAATAGTAATTTGTTCAATTTAGTCATAATTTAGTTCCACGTTCACACAGCACATATGTCATTTTCAACAATCAAGAAATCAATTCAAATTTGTGAGTTGTTGTTGTGGTTTCTTGAGTTAGTGCTATTGCGCACTTTTACTCTTTTGTGGCTGGGGGACTTATGCCTGCCCCACACTAAGCTTTAACGATACTGGAATTCATATCGTTTATTAATCGTTTAACTGATAACGAATCGTAGGTCAGCATATCTTCCTGTGGGTCCTGAGGCGGACTTGAGGTTTGTTAGAGCGGGGTTGGATATCAACTTTTTAGGGCTCTGTCCCTGATATATTTTTCACTGAATCGATCCTTAGATCTCTGTGCATGTCTGTTGTTGTAATATACCATGGAATCTTAAATAGCCTTCATATAGCCAGGTTTTGTGTCAGTTTTTGAGATATTAAAAATAAATTTTTTTTCAGTTTTCATAAATAATTTGTTAGTTAAATTTATAATCATATGAGTACATATTCTCGTAGATGTATACAAACTCTATTTTGAAAACCCAGTAGCACAAATAGATTTAAAAATTTGTCAGTTTTGGAAAAATCGTTAAATTTATTTTAAATTATCATTTAATTAAAATTTAAGGAGTTTAAATTTTGCTACAAGTACAAAGTTATACTTATTAAGTTTCAAATAAATTTTGTCAATATGAATTCTCATCAGGTAAATTTTTTTCCTTTCTTTAAAAGAAAACTAAAAAAATATGTATAATATTAGAAAAACAAGACCTTGGATGAGCTGGTGGGAGAATTGTTCTTAACAGAAGATCCAACAAATGTTATAGATGTAGAAATGAAAAGTCCAATACATATTGAGTCACAGGTTCTTGCTACTGGAGATTTCAAATCTGATCTACAAGACATAGGAGCAACTTTTTTCAACCCATCAACAACAAAACCAATGCAACTTTCCCAACACGAATACGATTACATAAATATGTTGGAAAATGAAAAAGAAGGGGAAACATATCAAAAATCATTGAAAAACCAGATGGTAACAGAACAAAACCAACTACTGGATGCTTTTTCAATTGATGGCTTAGAAAAAGAAGAATATTATCCTGAACGTGAACCAAAGCAAGAGGTATTTAACAATTTATCACAAATAAACAAAATAATAAATTTAAGTTCACAACAGTCAGTTTTGGAATCCTGCGAAGAAGTGATTCGTGGAGATAATGACATTTTAAAAAATAATTTTACTTACAATTTTCAACGTGCATCTGGTGGAAAATGTAAAGTAATAAAAAAACTTCTAGATAATGGGGAAACTGTATACAGATTTGTGGATATTAATATGGAAAAACGTATTGTTGAACACCTCTGGTTTAAGGAAAGTGAATATATAGGAAAAACCACTTATGACATAAAAACTGGACAACAAATTTAATAACAAAATACGTGACTGACAAAATAAACATATAATAAATTAAAAGTGCACTATAAAACAAAGTAATAATATATCACTTTTGTAATATTTAAATTAAAATGTTGAATTGAGTTAGTTCGATGAAAAATTGTTTATTTTTGCTAGATTTAAGAAATTGTTCAATAATATATTTCATTAATTTAATTATTAATTACTCTGTCTTTTTGAAGAAAATATTTTTTAAAAATAAACACCTAATAAGTTAACTATGGTCATAGTAAACTATTATAAACTAAGAGGGTGCTTTCGAAACAGAAACTGCACTGAATACCCAGTATTCAGTCAGACAAGAGTTTAAGGGCATAATATACGAAAACATGATATCCAACGTATACATCTAAATGCTATTCTGCTCGTAAATTAGAACAAAAATAGTGTGACAGGAAAGCGCACGCTGCGGTAGATTAACGGGGTGACTATAAAAGACATATTACAAAACACTTTAATTTCGGTTATTAACACATTATCACCTCTGCTATAGACATGTAATGAAAAAACTAGAGAATTATGAGGTGAGAAAATGGTTGCAGATAAAACGAATAAGACAGGCTCAAAAAGGCCACCGAAATCTTTTAAAAGTACAATACAAAGCGACACATGATGCAAGAGGATATAACATATATAGAAGAAAACAACCTAGTGAGAGCTGAGTTGAAATAGGATAAAACCACAAAAATATAAAGAGAAGATTATTAAATCTAATATATTAGAATTCAAAACATACTGAACAGATTTCTAAAGAAGTAACAGAAATATTTTGATACTTTTAATAATTGTAAGTTGAACTTATTCAATTTACATGGAGATCTCATATGAGTACTGTTTGTTAAATCTGTATAAATAAGAGAAGTTGAATTATTAAATTCTTTTCAAGTCATTTATATAAAACTTCAGATAAATATCAGATTGAACAAAATCTAGTGGATACGGTAGATGTTCTATAAGCTGATAGAGTATTTTATCCAATATTGATGTTACAATTCCTGACAAATGAGCTGATGTCTTGTCATGGTTTAAAAGCATCCCATAATATTATACGCCCACAGTTATGCATTGCGCAATCCAAAAGAAACTATCCTCAAACAATATCTCTATATCAGTTAAGATATTTTGTTTAAATATTTACGAAATTACACAAGTATGTTTTTAATAAACTACGAATAAATGCGGTAATCCATCTTTCTCATAAATTTTTTATATATAAATGCTCTTTAAAAATATTATATAGAATATGTTCATAGCATTCATTTCAGATATTTACTATATCAACAATCTTGTGTTACTTTATTTGACTATCTTCTATCACTGTATTATGAGCAATATGAAGACTTTCCAATTCGGTTCATGAGTTTGGGCCTGCACGCAGGTTCTACCTCATGGACTTATAAGGGATCCTTTCCGAAACAGCGCGAAAACGATCCCGGGGGAGAAACCCCGAAAAAGAAGAAGGAGTATTTTAGTTCGTAGTAAGTATTAGTTGAACACATCATTTCGGTGACTGTCGGTTTGACGGTGCATAAAGTTTTCCACCTACTCCTTTACAAAAAAAAAATCACTGCATCATGTCTTTTTTTCACCACAACGAGTTATTAGTTAACGAGTTATTATTACTTATTACGCCCTACGCGGCTTTTTTTATCAGTTTAGATAACAACGAAACTTGATAAATCTCTTTTTAACCATTCTATATGATGCTACAGAGTTTCCATATAGTTTGACAAGCTTTCTTTAAGTTAGAGAAGATTTTTTTCAACCCTTTATTAACAAATGAAATTCTTTCTTCATTTTTAAAAATTTACCAAACCTTGTGTGTCTCCAGAAGATTACAAAGCGGAAAAACAAGCAGATGAAGTATTAAAAGACAATAGTATTTATAATTAAAATATTTAAAAATATATGGTATATCCAATATATTTATTTAGTGCAGCTGTTACGGACTTATTAAGCAACCCTTGTATATCCGCCTTATTTATAGTAGATAGGAAACAATTGTAATATAATTAAAACTAACCACGCGTGGAAATGGATTACAAATAGTTTCAAATATTTTATTTATATAAAAAAAATGTCAATAATACAAAAATAAACTTAGTCACCATAACATTTTGGAAACGAGAATTCCATTAAAACTTATCCCATAAAAGGTAGTAATAATATTAAATTCAGTCACTTTAAACGAATGCAACAAGTGGCTTAAAAGTGCTTGCATAACAATCAATATTTTATACTAAAAATAGGCAAAAGGCTTCAAGTTCGCGCATTAAAGAGTACCCAAGCGCCCGTACCTATAAATTGGCTTCAACAATTTGCTAAGTGGGCACAACAAACGTTGAAGGCCCAACATAAAAACTACAAACAAACTATAGAGAAAGAAAAGTCATAACAAAAAAAAAGTCACAGAAAATTTGCGACACTGACACTCTGAAACTGTCTAACAATTCCATTTTATGGCGTTTACTCGTACCACCGGAAATGGTGGAACGGTCGCCTTAAACTATACAAAATGTTTTAAATTGTATACGCTCGCTTTGTTTGTTCCATACAATTTTCAAGGAACGTTTAATTGAGGAAAAGGACTACAAAACTTAAAGTAGAATTTTTAAAGAACTTTTTTCCGTATGCTGCGGAATGATAAAGCTGAAATTTATTACTTAAACGGAAATGTTAAACATCGTTTACTAGGAGTAGTTGTAATTAATTAGGATTCCTTTAATTTGCATTTACCTTGATTGATTTATATTATAATTATATATAGTATGTATCATAGGGTTTAATTTATTTTAGTACTACTCGAACTTCAATGTACTTGAACTCTTTATTCGCCACAAATATTAAGAATTTAGTTAAGAGTTTGTATATTTATTTGTATTTATATATTTTATTGATAGTATCATCAATTGTTTGAATTTATATGGATACATACTTGTCAGGGGCACGTCACTAGTCTATCACGCAATGCTGCACTTATTTGCTTTATTTACCTACTAACAAACAGACATTTAGATAGACATTCAGTTTGATAGATACACGTGCTTGGTAAGCTTACTGAAATGTAGAAATTGTTAAAGTATATAATAAAATATCAATGGAATTCACATATCAAGATATTCAATTCAGTTCTTTTGTCTTCGTTTTCTGTCTCTGATGATATTGATTTGTTATTTTCAATTTACACAAAATCAAAAATAGCGAAAACACACGAAATGAGACATGCGAAAGTTGAATAAATTCTCAGTATTGAACATAAAATAAATTGCATTGCAATGACTTGAATTGTAAATTTCCTTAAAAATACATACTTCAATTGTTTTTATCATTATAATAAAGCTTTTTATTCGGCGAAGTTAATGATAACCATAATGGATTGAGACCATATATATACAAATTTGTTTTACGAAAAATAAAAACATTTAGAGGTGGAGATATACTATAAAATATTAAGTGTTTTTGCAGTGTATTATCTGTAAATTATATTGTCACAAAGGATACCCCTTAAACTATACCTTCGCTCTGAATACGCCACTGAAAAACATCATTACTGCATTGGCGTTGTGTATGTTATTTTACATTATTATTATTGTAAACTATGTTTTTTGTAACCTAAATTAGTAAGTACTGCTAGTTTCATAGTTAGCTGATATGAATAGTTCATACTTTAGTTTTAGTTACCTTCTTATAGAATAACATACATTAAGACTGAAAAGTTTTCGGAAATTCTCATTTAAAATTCGCGCGCTGTATATTTTTCGATATTTTAAGTTTATGTAGTTTGGCAGCACTGTCCTTAATTACTATGCAAAAAATGAGCGCGATCTGTCAGACAGTTCGTTTACGGCAGCTGTTGAAACCAGTTCACCTCAGTAGTGCGTTGCGAAATGTCTTCGACGGTCGTACGACCGTCCTGAAAGGCTTTGTACCACTCATAAACTTGAGTTTTCGATAAAACTGATTCCCCATAAGCCTTTTGTAGCATTCGCAACGATTCTGCACACGAAATTTCGTTCGAAACACAAAATTTGATGCAAACTCTTTGTTCAATATTTTTTTCCATTGTTTTTTCGCAACGCACTACTGAGGTGAACTGGTTTCAACAGCTGCCGTAAACGAACTGTCTGACAGATCGCGCTCATTTTTGGCATAGTAATTGTCCCTAATTGCTGCCAAACTACATAAACTTAAAATATCGAAAAATATACAGCGCGCGAATTTTAAATGAGAATTTCCGAAAACTTTTCGGTCTTAATGTAGTTGTTTGTAACCAAATAGTCTTATGTTACCTACCGCTAGTTTAATAGTTAACTGATATGAATAGTTTATATTTTAGCTTGAGTTACTTCCTTATAGAATAACATAGTTGTTTATAATCAAATAGTCTTATGTTAAATAATGTTGGCTAACAAAATATCGTAGAGTTTATACGCAGCTAGACATCCCAAAAGTTTTCATCAACCCCATTCTAAATGATTACTACTATGCTTTCCGGCTTTCTCAGCATTAACGGTACCATCTACAAAATGCGATTGTCCTATTCCGAAATAAAAAACCCAGCCCCAGAAAAGCCCCAAGCCCCAGAAAAATATATTAACATCTAGAAACCGTATTTACTACCATCAATGGAAGAGCCTTTGTGTTATTGCAACTTTTTAATTTTTCAAGACGTTTCCGCTCCTTGCCACCGCACAAAATCGGTAATATTTTTATGCATAAACATTAATTGAACAACCATTTCTGTCAAAAAATATACTTTTTTTTATTGAAGTAAAGAATTTCCCTGAAAAGGAAGGAATTCAAGTGCTTACGTGGCCAGATACCTGTCATCAGTGGTCTTTAAATTATTTTTTACATTTAATTATTGATAAATAATTATTTTTGAGACTGGCCAGTACCAAGGGTTGAACTCGTACCCTGACAAATTTTAAACTCAGAGTCAGTGTTAATTAGCAAACTGATCAAACTAGTACTTGACTTATATGTTTGTACTTGAAGTTTTGTTAATTTGCTATAA